GAGGATGGAGTGGCAGCTGAAGGTGCAGGAGCTGGACCCTGCAGTGCACAAGTCTCTGTGCGTCAATGAGGTGCCGTCCTTCTACGTGCCAATGGTCGACGTCAACGACGACTTTGTCCTGCTCCCTGCATGACAGCGCGCAGCACTCAGACTCACCAACTGAATCTGAATCATGTTCTCAAAGAGACTTCGTTACAAAGAACGAATGGAAAGGGCTAGCAAGTTTAAGAAGGACAGGAAAGACTTTATTATATTGAAAAGAAATTATAAACTTGCCCTTGATTCCCTTCCGTGAAGAAGGAACTACGTTTTTTGTGGGGAATGAGACGGAACACAACTTGCACTTTCATCCTCAAAGTTTTTATGCTTTTCTTTGATCAGAGTTCAAGAAGCAAAAACAGGCGTTGACTTTGACACTCTGACACCGGGTCACATCTCCCAACGCTCCAGGAGACACAGGACAGAAATCTTTTTCTGCGTTTGTTTCTGGTCCTGATTTCAGCAGACCGCACGAGGGCACAGAGAGGGGTTGTTCCGCAGAAGGACGGAGAACAGGGCTCCCTGAGGACCAGGAGAAGCAGAGGCCACCCAGTGGATGTGGTAGAGGTCAGAGCTGTGCTACTGCTCTGAAGCACCCGCAATGGGCCACACCTGCCCCGGGGCACTTTGAGCGACACGAGGGCCCAGAGAGCAGAGGGACAGACTGAGGCAGACTCTGCGCCGGGCTCACGGGACAAGACTGGACCTGAGGACAGACCGGAGTGTCCTCATCTCCACACTTTGTCCTAAAAACACAAGAGCGCCATAGACTGCAAAAACACCACAGGACAACCAGAAAATACAACCATAACGAATGTTACAATTCAAAGACTATTGAGAGTTTGTGGTTGGGTGGGAGAAGAGAAATATTGTTTTTGTCTATTTCTTTACTTGGGCATTTCATTGTTTCTGAGGAAGTGACTTGAAACACTACAGAGCCAATATTAGTTTAATGGAAAAAAAACAAAAGAAAACAGAAAAAAAGTTGTATTCCGTAAATTATGTACAGTTTTTATATTCGTTAACCAATGTATTCTTGCTGCCTTCTAGATAATTTATTTTGCCACACATTACTGCACAGTTGTAAATAACCTATGTACTGTAATATCACTCAGTTAAGTGTAAAGAAAAACCGTAAAAGAAATAAAAATTATCTTTTTATGTACAATTCACTTTGGGCAGCACTTTCCCCCTCATATCCATGGGCCAAACGTGTGTGACTCCAGTGCACAGTTTAATCCCGTCTGATTCAGTCCAGGGATCCCTACCACACACAGTATTCTGATAAAACAGGCCTAACCCACAAGCCAACCTCCATATAGTCCCTCTAATGTAGCAAAATAGTTATCAAGGATTTATTTAAAGAATAGACAGAGGATTATTATTCATTGCTTTACTACACAACTATATCTGAAATTTTTTGAGCCAAGAAAATGCCTTTTTCAGTGAAAAATGTACTCATTGTTGGGCAAAGTCATAGATATTTATGGGTGAGGTGAAAGTTATGTCATTTTCAAACAAAGTGTCATGTCTGTTCATTGTTTTTATTTTTACAAAATCCACAATTGTCTCAAACTAATAAGACACGGGTCTCATCTTTTTCTTGTTCTTTAAGCTCTCATAATTGTCATTCCATGTTTAATTTGTTTGCCCCGTTCATTGTTGTAATTCAACTTTTACTCACTTGATGGCGCCAGTAGTCCTTTTTGTCTCAGCCAAAACTTGTGTGAGAGACCTGTGGCCTTTGTCATGAATGGGCATTTTTTAACAACATGTTTAAATTGATTCACCGTCGGCTCAAAATCTTTATTCTCCTTTTAAACTTCAAATTTGTCACTGCTTTTTAAAGTTAGAGTTACTTCCTCATGTTGTTGTTCACCATAACTTTAGTTCAGGCCCAAGTAGATTAATTGTATCTTTACTCAGTATGTACCAAAAAGGACATGAAAACTCAAAACTCAGCCAGTGGGTAGAGTAATGCTGAATATACATCCCTTTTTATTGTCTTTAGTTAAATGTTGAGTTGTGATAACTATTTTAGTGGAAAAAGCTTTCTTTGACTTGTCCCCACATCGGCTGCCAGTCTTTGTGAGAGCTGCTTTTGTGTTTTTCAGATGGCAATATTTCCCATTCACTTACACACTGTCAGTGAGCATAGCTGTGTATGGTATGTCTAGTCAGTGGTTGTTAAAGTTACCGTGCAGGCAAGGTGGCTAGATGTTCTTCATACCTCCATACACACCCATACAATAGATTTAAACCCCTCCTTTGTCATGTTTTCATTTCATTTACTGTTTTTTGGGATGATGTCTGTTGTTTTGTGTTTAGCTAAATGTGTGTGTTTTGTGTTCATTCTTATTAAGGGGTTAATTTTGTTCCTGTATAGTAGTTAAGCATACGCACCAGTGGCATGTCAATCACTTTGCTTATCAAGCAGAATGTATCCCATTTTACTATATATGCCCTGAACGACCACGCCCTCACTATTGTTTACAAGACATTACAATAACATGTATTTTTGCATCATTTGGAACGGTTTAATTATGCCCTGCCTTTGATTTTACTTCATTTATTTGAGTCCACAAAGGCTTGAAATGGTGATGATGGCTGCTCCAATGTTGTTTTCCCCAAATAGCAATATCCTAACCATATATATCGTCACTAAACAATATATTTTGGCCATATTCAGTAATCAATAGACTGATGCACAGTTGAGCAGCACTAGGCCATGGTGAAACAGTCAGCAACATATTACCTCTATGCTCTTACATTCACTAGCTTAGATTTGTTTGTGTTTAAATGACATTTTTCATAGTAGAATCACAATTTCAAGCCTTTTTTTCTAGTTTTCTTTGATTTCTAATTAAACCCAAACTGTAGCTGTTTCGTTTTTTTCCTTGTATTTTTTTAGAAGATAAAGCATGGCAAACTACTCTTTAAAATGATGAGAAATAGCCTATTTATTATTTTCTTTTTTTCTGACACCTGTGGTATGTTTTTGAACTGAAGTTGGTCTCCGCTGTGTAAATTTTCCTTCTTGTTAATGCGTGAACGAGACATACTGTACATAGCTCTGTAAATAATAAAATCTCCCAGGACGTTTTTTGCACCCTCCTTTGTACTAGTCTGAAAATTTGCGTAGAATGTGGGGTTAATAACAGCTGAGTACGGGCTGGTAATGATGTACCAATGTAACATTTTTTATTTGTATAATGTAGTTTATTTGTGTACATATTGTCGGAGCAGCTAAAGGGGGCGGGGTTTTGGGGGGTGGTCGTTGATGCTATCGTCAGTGCTGTAACAGATCCAGTACTTACACCTCTAGCTGTTGTTGATTTCCTGCAAAAACATGACATGAAAATCTATGAAAAAATCCATAAAAATTTACAGGAGAAATGCGAGAACTGAAAATGAGGATGGATGGGGAAAAAACTCAAACTGAAAAGTAAAAATCTAAATTGTTATTTTCTACAGTTGCATGTACAGAGAGCGCGAGAACTGCTGTTGTTCCTCAGAGATTATGTTCGTTAATAAAATTTTGAAATATTACCAGTCGTCCTATGATTCTTGGTTTGGTGCATATATTTATACATTGACATTAAAAGTATAAAATATTAGAGTTTAATTCAGGGAAAGCCCTCTAACAGAAATTGTAGACCTGTAGCAAGAGACAAAAGTTCAAGCCATTAACTGCCAGAACTTACCTAAAGACAAATGTCTGAATACAGTAGAATATGCCAAACTCTCAGATGTGGGGCAAGAGCCTGTTTACCCATTGACAACATTGTACTTGCCATGAAATATCAAAAAGGTAAATTCACAAATGTTGATCCTGATCATTTCTATAATTGGCTAGACCCAAGAACAAATATCTGCAATTTAACAATATTTATTTTAGCTCCAACACATCTGTACTGATCTGAAGCCCCGCAATAGACATGGAGAAGCGTGACCGATTACTTGCAAAAAAAACAAAACAAAAAAATAAATAAAATTATATAAAACAATCTTGGCAACAAAGTAAATAGAAAAGTAATAAAAGTAGACCTAACTATTTTAGAGCTATATGGTAAGGCTAAATAAATGAGACAGAAAAATAATGTTAATAATTTTCTTTTGTATACAGCAGCTTTCAGTTAACAGGGAACTCCCTGACTAAGTACTTAGGCCTGTAGATCACATTAGTTCAGCTGAAGTTCCACTGAATCGTGTGTGTTTGAGCTTATGTTGTACAACCTGTTCTTCTGTCTCACTTTGTCTCTGATATGAGCCAAACTATAACTGACTGGAAAAAAAACTTGGCTTTTTGAAAACAAAACAGTTCTGAGGACTATGTTAGTTAATATTGGAGTCCAGCTGAAGCTGTAGTCCTACAACCTAAGACTCACCAATCTGAGTATGTTATTGTAGGCCCAAAGCAGCATGGGGCTACAGCAGATAGTTTTTATTTTTTAATGTGCTGATGCCACATTCTCGGCTGGGGGCAGGTGCTGATGTGATCATATTTAAAAACTGAACATTTGTCCATAAAGTCACTGTACCACTTAATAAATCAGAAAATTAAAAAGAAACCTTCCCCTAACACTGTGCCTCAGCAGGCCCAAAGCCTAATCAATCTTTAGGCCATTATATAGGCCTACTACTGGCCTAATAGTGTATAAAGTACATTTAATTTAGGTAACATTAACCTATATTTTTAGTAGCCTATTGTAATTAAAAGTTACACTTGCTTCACGGGGTCGTGGTCTCATGCCCCAGATCCCAAAATATGGTTTTGACACCATGGCAGTCTGAAATACGAGCTTCTTTGGGGAGTGACTGTTCCCCGTGGGTCCCCTGGAGGTTTCCCCGCATGTGAGTCACTGTGGCCGGGAGCAGGTGTGACTCCTCCCCCGCCCTCCTCCTCCTTCTCCTCCTCGGCGCTGCTCGCTGCTCTCTGCGGCTCAGAGGGCGCTGTGCCATGGCCAGCAGCGGTGGTGGAGTCGGTGACAAGTGTGTTACCACAAACCGGTGTGTTCAAATGGACTACGAGGGCAAAGTGTTCCCCCTCACCGGCGGGTACGGGCGCTACAACCGCATCGTGATCATCTTTAGCTGGTTCCCAAACTTTGCGGTCATTCTCAACTTGTTCAGCGACATGTTTTTTACGCTCATCCCGGAGGAGTACCACTGCAAACCCGACCCTCAGCTACTGCCCTCCACCTTTCTACTCAGTAACTTCACCAGACAGGGGTACCTCAACCTCACCATACCCTGGGTGGTGGAGAGTGGGCGCTTCAGCCACTGTGAACTCTTCAAGTATCCTCCAAACTCATCGGACCTCTCAGACAATGCTCCCCGGGAGAAAGTGTCTTGTACTCGGGGCTGGGAGTACCATCAGGCGGCGGGGCTCCAGAGCAACTTTGTCACTGAGGTAAGAAGGTCACTGAGTAATACAGGGCCAACTTTTATTTTTTTTATGTTTTGTATTTTGTGTATTTTTCAAAAGCTACATTCAGGGCTGATCAAATTTAAAAACGCAAACTTTACGCACAACCCATTTTGAACCCTTCTCTGTCAAGATAATGGTGCCATTTGGCCTACATGTATTTTACCCGTTCTGTTTGTGAATTTACTAATCTAGACCTATCTATACTGTATTCTAGCAGTTAGAGTCATCCACCCATAGCAATTTAATTAACAGTGACCTACATTTGCTGTCAGTGTGGGAATGGGAAACTGTACCTAAAGTAGACTAAAGTTTTCTAGTGGCAGTTGGATTCCAGTCTAGGATACTTACAATAAAATATAAAATTGTCTGTTGTGGTAGTCACTGATTGGACTCTACTCGGTCATAATTTGCATTGTGTTATCCATTTCCACAGTCAAATCATACAGACTCTATGGTGTCTAGTTTATCTTTTACTCACTGAAATGGCTTCTCTTTGTACCATGTGAAGATTTCTGTTCTGTCAATATTTGTTCCTCTCAATCAGGTGGGACTTTTCCTTGGGCATAGTTTGTTTCCAGTTCCCAATTTCACTACCTTGTCAACAACACTGCAAACAGTCAGTCGAAACTAAACTTCATGTTCGAGTGTATAACAGAATAGTTGTATCTTAGACTAAAAACAGGTGTGTTGAAAAATATACCGTACAAAAAGGATATTATTTACTATTATAATTGGTTTTATGTCTGTTCTTAGTTAACGTTAAGTCTGTTCGAGTGTGCATTATGCATGTGCTCATTCTCCTATTGTATGAGTGGCATAAAGTAGCTTCAGTATTATTGTTTATCGCAGTATATCTCTGTACAAACATATCGCACTTTTAAATTTATTGTCATGACAGGCCTAGGTACGTTTTAAAAATACATTTAAAAAGACAGTATGAACATTTTTTTATTTAATTTTTTATTCATTTGTGAGCAGCCTCTTTACAGATCTTACCAGTAACGTGGCCTGGTTGCGTCACCAGTGTATCCCTGTGGAGATGGTCAAGCTTTATGCCATGGAGCATTCCCAGGCAAAGCAATAACATCTCCATAGAGAGGAGCAGGAGGTGGACCAGAAATGTTAGATTGCTTTTCTGTCATCAGAAGCATATCTGGAGTTGTGTTTTGTTTCATTCACACATGTTTGGGTAACAATTTATCATGAAACTGTACTTTTCAAGGTAATGACTAACTTTTACCTTGTGTACTGTGGAGATTGGCAATTCAAGAGCTGAAATGATCCAAATGATTCTAGTGAAGGTGTATGGAGTTTAAAAACACAGTGGCGCACTTTCTGTATTACCACATGACGTCACAAGGTGGAACAGAGTGTTTTCTTTTTGAGAGAAGAACACAGTTTGAATATACAGAGTTTGTGTTAAACATGTTTGAATGAAACAAAACACAACTTCAGGTTTATTTTTGATGAGGAAACAACATTGTAACGTAGATCAGAAATTAACGTAATATAGACTGTTTAAGGCGTGTTTCTTTTATGCATAACAACATTTTTGCCTCACCTCTATGAGAAAGATCATTCCCAACAGTATCAGGCCTTATTAGTTAAATTTCCTGCTCTGTACAGCCGATGATGATAACTATCTTGAAACTTGAAGTCATTATGGTTAACTGCATCCTCTTCTCTCTGATCGTCAACGTCTTTACAGAAAGAAACATCATTCTATCCCAGATTTCTCTTGTTCTAATTGTTGGCAGGAGAGGCAGGGTCTGTTCCTTTTTGCGCCCCTCTTGCCCCCCTCTGCAGTCGCTTCCTCTGTCTCACAGATCAGGAGGGAACCTCGGTGCACTGAACATGGTCCAGAGAAAACATGGCTGACAGTGACTGAGCTCATCATTGTATTTACACAGATGGGGCTGATACTGGACCGGCAAAGTTCAGGTCATCAAGGCAATGCAGTACTCAGACAATATGCTATGTACAGGGTTCAAACAAAGCACAATACATGTACAGGGCAAAAAGTACTGTTCATATTCCAAGAAATACAGAGATGGACAGAGAGACAGAGAGATAAAAACTTTATCAATCCCAAAGGAAATTCAGTTTTTGGCAGCAACAATAAAACATAATAATACTAATAAACAACAATAAAACATAATTATACAAATAAACAACAATAAAACATAATAATACTACTAATAATACAGCAGTAATTCATCATTTATAGTTTTATCCAATTATATCCAGTTATAGAAATATCCAGTTTTATTTAATAAGCTACATAGTGGACCATTCATTATCTGGAGAGGGGCTCCTGATCGTCCCCTTTGAGATATTACATGCTGCAGCATTACATTTATAACATTTATTTTATGGTTGATGTTTTTGTTTTTCAAAAAAGCCTTAGAAATAAATATTCTTACTGTGAGCAAGGTCCTCTTTCCCCAGATTTGACATGTAACTTGGCCTTGTCTCCATGGATATAGTTAAGTTCATTGCAATATGTTTTTTAGCATTCAATTAAAAGGAATACCATCTCCATGGAGACAAACAGACTGTATACTCTCCCTCAGAAAAGTTACATAGTGCACCTTTAAAGAAGGAAGTTTCTAGGTGTAAAATCAAGATGTTATTTTAAATGTTTTTTTCCTGTGGTCTTTTTTGGACGTAGGTGCTTATGTCCTGATTATTCCCATGTTTCCTTTTCCTCAGAATTTCCTTTTTCCTCATGTCTTTTTCCACAGTGGAGACAATGTTTGAGACTAAAGACTCGCCGTATTGTCCAAGCGGTTAATGACATGACTGCCAAACCGCTCCAACGGGACTCATTGTTGTAACTGTTCTTTCCACGTATCATTTACTCAACCCAGGCTGCACACAGCAATAGAAAAACAATTCAAAAACTGATATTTTGTACTGTAATCATTAGCATGTCCTCTCCTGGTAATCTTGACCATGTAGCCAGTATTACCCCAATGCAACTGTTCATACATGTGTACATTTCAAATCATTTGTACATTTCTTCAGTGTAGTTTAACTGGAGGATGTGGTGCAGGTCTTATGTTAATATGCCATTTTTGTTCTGTGGTATAAAACTTGTAAGTACGGTAATAAAAAGGGTCCAGTTTTCTTTTGCAGAAGTATTAGGATAATACAAGATAATGAACTTACAACACAACATTAATTTTATAATGTATTTCTGAAAAGGTATAAACCACAAAGGTTTTAAGGAATATATCCAACATTTAGGTTTTAAATTACATTAGTTTCTGAATAGCTGGTTAGTCTCTGTAGTGACTTTAAACTCTTATATTTTAATTTCTAGTCTGAGGGAATAATTAATGGGAAATTTCCTTTTGGAACCACAGCGGATATTGACTGCCGAGCCCCTTATGCATTTGTGAAATGTGAGAAACAATGAACATCTTCTATTACATCTTCTTCTGACACAAACATAATCAAATGTGCGTGGATGTAAAACCCTGCTTCACTCTGTAAAATTGAAAGTTAAACTTAATCCATTGCCAGTACATGGTTAGCTGTGAATGGGAATGGTCTTATGCAAAGAGTATGTAGCTCGTTCTACTTTGAATCTAACGTAATAAGGCTTGAACAGGCATCTTAACTCAGTTACTAGGACATTCCTCCTCGCTCACTCCAGTGTCTACTGTGTCATCCAGTGAAAGGAAACACTGAGTATATATACAAATATGTTTGTAGTAAATTACATCCTGTCCCACTGCCTCTTAATGGTTGATAAATTGTGTATTATAAAAGGTTAACTTGTTTTATGTGTCTGTTGTTTACAGTGGGACTTGGTCTGCAGTGACTACTGGAAAATCCCTCTGCAACACATCTGCTTCATGATGGGATGGATCCTGGGATACATCCTCCTGGGTACACTGTGTGACTGGTGAGTGAGAAGATACAGAACCACAGAACTATAGAAGGAGAAGTCATGACTTTAATGTTAAACAAAGTATGTTCACTTGATGCCATACAATGGCCTGAGTGTACTACCAAGAACTACAGCAGGACTTTTTCTGGAGCCTTTTTATGTACATTTTCATCAACTCTGCCCATGGGTTAATTTTAATTACTAAGCCATTTTAGCTTAATATTGTGATTCACAATGATTTATATATGTTATAGCTTATTACCGAAGACCTGAAAAAACATAATATATTTTATTTCAAGGTACGCTAAATAACTTTTTGGTTGCCAGATCCACCATCCACAATTTTACTTTTTCCCAAATCATACTGCAATAGTCTGGAGCTGTTTGTCCTGAGAGAATATAAAAGGTTACGTATTAGATGTTAAAGTCTTGGGTGAAAACATTGCAGCGGTGTGTTTGCAGGTTTGGTCGGAGGAAGAGTTTCCTGTTGTCTCTGAGTCTGTCCAGTCTTTTGGGGGTGTGCGTGTGTCTGTCCAACAGCGCCGTGCTCTTCCTGCTGTTGAGGCTGGCTCAGGGCTGCATGCTCGCTGGAGTCTACCTGTCCTCATACATCAACAGTGAGTATGGCTTACCTACACAGTCCCTTTAGAGATATGAGCTCAGTGTGAATCCGAATGAATGAATCAAACATTAAACACATGTCGTGTGTCATGAGTTTGTGCTACTGGTTACCCATTTCCTAACCTGTTAGCCAAAAAATAAAAGCATGTTTTTTTTAGTTTTTTTTTTTATGTCTGTATTGCACTGAAGTGGGCTGTAGTGGCTGTGCGCTGTAAGTGTGCTTGCATCTCTATTGTGCTCTAGAGGAGGGCCTCCCCCTACTTGTCTCTGTGAAAATGCTTTTTTCTGTGGCTCTGATATTCTACAGTATGGGCATAAAACATTTCTATATCCATGGAGAATTGTGTGGTGTAGTTTTAACTGTTCAACCCATGTGTGTTGCTTTAAATTTCTAGTAGAGTAGTTGTAATAATTACACTCAAATAAAACTTAATGATGTCTAGTTGTAAACAGTTTGAAACGCCTTACACATCATTAGCTGACTTCTCTTTATTCTTGGAACTACTCTGCCATCTCTCTGAGTCATCTCTGGCACTGAGTCTGTCCACATCCCAACATGTTGTGGAGTAACCAAGGATCTGGCTGATCAAAAATAACTCACCTAAATCATGTTGAAACATATTTGAATTGTGTTAAAAAGAATGACTGGCACACTTTCTGGTCCGTGCCAGAAAGCTTCCTCTTCCTGTAAACCCAGTAAAGGTTACATGGGATTGATTGAATATACTGAAGTCTTGTGATGTTGAGTAACAATGTTGTGGTGACTCTATAACTCAAACATCCAGTAACAGATATAAATAGAATACATTATACTGACTGATGTGTATGTCTTCAGCAAATTATTTTAGTCTCCAAGATTTCTGTCGATCAGTGCAGGGAGTAGAAAATAAAATAATGAAGTATCTCTCTTGTATGTATCCAGGCACAGTTGTTTTTATTGCTGAAATAAAGCTTTCTTAAAGAGGGGGTGTTATGCAATATGTCTTCATGTCCAATATGTATTCATGCATGTTTGAGTAATCTAGCAATCTCAGCCCATAAGTCTACATCATGTATGCTCCCACACTGCAATGTTTCATAAATATACAAGCACATGGCACAAACCAATACACTACAGCTTCACAAACCTGACAGTTTTATTAGCAAAATGCATGCCAAATGTAATTAGATAGCACTCTGAAGGGGGAATGACTTGGCACGGAGAGCGAAGGGAGTGGGAAGTCAGAGCATCAAAAGTGAAACTGAAACATATTTAACATGTTAATATGTTGTTTTTGTTGACTATAAAACAATAAAAGGTACTGTAGCATGGCGATTTAAATATGTTTTGTGTTAGCATTTAATACCCGCTCTTTAATGGACGTCGCCTGTCCACAGATCAGACTTGTGATTTGGCCTGGTATCACTCACTGCTTGTGTCTATGTGATAGATAAGTGTAATGCCATACTGTTGAACCCTCCGAGCCAGGCTGGAGCCACCTAGTGCCTCCGCTCAGTTTCACTTGTCTCCAGCAACTAGGTCAGGAATTGGAATACACTAGACGGTTCACAAAAACCCCGGACGTGCGAAGAGCCATAGATTCTATGTTGGCAATGATTCCCGAGATCGAGGATTTAAAGCCGGAACAAAGAAAATGTTTGGTGAATTTTATTAAGATGTTATTGCCCTTCTTTCAGTAGGATTTGGGAAAAGATTAATAAATCAGGGAGTCCCGTTAGCAGCGCATTACATACGTCATGACCAAATAGCAGCAACTGTTTAGATGGAAAAAAAAGTACCCACCTACCGTCGAATTAATAAATTCTAACGCTGCGAGGTCAGATGGTTTCTATGAAGTGAAACCGTCTGATGAATCAGGCTAGAACCTTCCAGGGAAGGCACTGACATCCTACATGACAAGCAAATGGCATAAACTCCACTAGAAAGGTTACATAATGCACCTTTAATAATTATTGTTGGAAAATACCATTTAAATCTACTTTGACGTACTTCTTTCTGTATTTCACCTCGATTTACAAGTATGATTTGAAGTGGGTTGTTCAGTTCCCAAACAATAATTCAACTTTGCAAGGCTTTGGAGGCAGGAGTGCTACTTGGATATGCAAAAAATGTGCAGAATTGTCCTTTTGGTGCTCTTCAGTGTAGGGACCAGTCTCAAATACAAAGTGGGAAAAAAACTGAGGCACTCAAAAAGTACAAAATAATTAAAAGCCTTTAATACCACATGGCAGATAAAGTTAAAATACGCCAACGCGTTTCGGCCCTTCGGCCTTCGTCAGGGCAAACTCGAGATGGTTCTCACAGTGCAGATTTAAAGTAATAGGTGTAGGTCACATGTTCACAGTGGGCTGGCCCACAGTCCCCTAGATGCATGATGGGACAGGTAGGCCTAACAAACCTTAATTATAGGCTAAACAAATTCAAATACAATAATACAAGACATAAATGGTGCAAATCCCAACAACCAATACATAGATAGATACATTATATGAAAATAGTATAAAATAGTATAAAAAGATACATAGTGTAAGGATATATATAGAGTGCGATAACTCAAAAGTGCTTCAGCTATAGTTTGTATAATATATTTAAGGGCTAGTCTTAAATAATTTCAAGAAGACAGGGATATAGAACAATCGATTACACATTTAAAGCAGTTAAAGGAAGGGGGAGAAATCTAACTCTCCACTGAGTCCTGGAAACTGTGTAGCCTTGAGAGTGTAGATCCAGTAGGTCTCTCTCTGTAATAGTTTTTCAGTCTATCTCCTCCTCTTATTGTTTCTTTAATATGTTCAATTGCATAGACTTTTAGGCTTTTGCAGCTGCCATGGTTGGCTTCTTTGTAATGCACGGCCATAGGATACAGGGGGTTATATGTCCTTATAGCCTGTTTATGTTCAGCCAGTCTGTTTTTCAATTTGCGTTTTGTTCGGCCTACGTAAAAACGACCACATGGGCATTCAAGTCTGTATACTACATAGGTAGTGTTACAATTAATTAATGTTCTAATATAAAAAGTTTGACCTGAGTTAATGTCCATGAATAAGTTCGTCTGTTGTACATGTTCACAAAAGGTGCAGTTACCACATCTATAGCAACTAGCCTTAGTGTCCAACCATGTCTTTTGTTTCAAAGGAGGGAGATAACTGTTCACTAGTCTATCACTGAGCGTAGGGGCTTTTCTAAAGGTGATGGTGGGGGTCTCTGGGAGAGCGTCTCTTAGGGTGCTGTCGCTTCTTAATATACTCCAGTTCTGTTTGATTATTTGTTTGATTCGGTTTGCTTCAGTGCCATATTCAGTTACAAAATACACTTGATTAGTACTCACATTTTTCTTTGGTTTCTGAGTCAATAGTTCTTCTCTATAAAGACTTTTGGCTCGATTGTAGGCTAAAGACAAAGTACTGTCTGTGTAGCCTCTGTTTTTGAATCTACAGCTCATATCTTGAGCATTTTTTTCAAAGTTAGACTCAGTATCACAAATCTGCCGTAGTCTTTGAAACTGACCATAAGGGATATTCTGAAGCAACCATGGGGGGTGAAAGCTGTCTGCTTTTAAAATTGTATTTCGATCAGTTACTTTTCTGAAAATTGTGCTATGTAAATCCCCATCAAGGTCCTTATAAATATTTAAATCTAAGAAATGTATTTCTGATAAGGAGTAGTCTAGGCTGAGTTTAATATTGACATTTGTATTATTCAAGTAAGAATGAAACTGTAACAATTCTTGTTCAGACCCAGACCACAATAGTAGAACATCATCAATGTAATGTCCCCACCACAATATTTTGTCTCGAAGATTGTTCAGATTGGAGAATACATAGTTTTCTTCCCAAAAGCCCAAGTACAGATTTGCATAATTGGGTGCAAAGCATGCGCCCATTGCTGTGCCTTTTTGTTGTTTATATAGTTGCTGCTGAAAGAGAAAGATGTTATTTTTCAGTGTCCATTCTGTTAGCTTTAATATAAATCCAGCAGGGGGCATTGTCTCTGAAGTCCTCTTTTTTAGGTAGTGTTCCAGTGCCATTAGTCCATCTTTATGATCAATGTTAGTGTATAATGGTTCTACGTCCATAGTTGCAAGATATCCTTCTCCGATGTCCTTAATCAGTTTCAGTTTATTTAACACCTGAGTACTGTCTTGAATAAAGGAAGGCAAGTCACTGACAAAAGGTTTAATATGAAAGTCTATGTATTTAGATAAAGGTTCTGTAAGTGATTCATTCCCACTAATTTTCGGCCTTCCTGGTGGGTAATAATTCAACTTGTTGTGTCTTATCTTCTGACAAATGGCGTGGAGTGTTACATTTCTGACTGACAGTAGCAGCAGCTGTGTGCTTGTCTCCTCTTACTTTTGACTCCTCGGTTTACTTCTGTGTGTGTGTATGACGTCTGTGTGGAGATGTCTCTGGCTTGTACAGATTCACTGAGGGCATTTGTTGTGTAACTAGTATGAGCTATTGCAGGAATGTAATTTAGTGATGTTCTTTTGGCGTAGATATACTCACTCTTTGGAGGGTGGACGGGGGCGGGGGTAACTGGTGCCCTCTAGGTTTCTGACACACTCCCACATTCCAGCGGGGTCAGGAATAGATTAGGTCCAGATTGAGTTTTTGAACCTCCTGCAGATGTTGGATTGGGCAAGGGGAGTGGGGGTGTGTGTGGGTGTGTGAGACATGTCAGGCATTTTCATGTTACAGTTCTTTAGGTCCAAAATTAGGAGTTAGCAATTATATTCAAATTAATACCTCAATAATTTTACATTAATCTTTTTTTTTATTATTTTTTTTTATTTACAATTTGTAATTTTTTAGGGAGTGGATACCCGGCACATTAATAACAAAATAGACATAACAAAATATAAGATTAACAAACAAAAAAATATATATATAAATAAGGGGCATGGGTAGGGGGGTGGGTGTGTGGGTAGGTTTTAATATTATACAATAAATAAATAAATAAATAAACAAAAATAAGCCCTCCCGCACCCTCTCTCTACACCACGAATTTAACAATACTCAGAAGCTCAGGTTTAAATATCAGACAATATTATACTCCTTTACGAACTGCTCTGAGTCTAGAATAGGGGTGTGAAAAAATATTTAAAAATCAATATATCGTGTCATTTAATGTGATGATACAGTATCGAAATTGTGGGCACAAAGAGTATTTTTTGGTACATTTTACCTCATTATTTTGTTAGAGCTCTGCAGTTTCGTTGCTTGTTTAGTGGAAAGAAACTCTTTTATGCAACGCCTTTGACATTTTCACTGTTTTGATGATTAAAATGAGTGTGTTTCATATTAACTTTGCACAAGAAGTGGTTTAACAAAACTTTTAGTATCACAGCCACAATTTAGCCATTATTTTTATTGAACCACATCAAATTGTTTTAAAATTTATTGTATCAAATTGAAAGTGCATTGTATCAAAATATGTATTATATCCAGTGTTGGGGAGTAACAGATTATATGTACCGGCGTTACATAATCAGAGTACAAATTATGAGTAACTGTATTCAGTTACAGTTACTGTTTCCATGAGTGGTAATTGGATTACAGTTACTTTGTTGAAATAAATGGATTACATGGCGGTATTTTCCTGTTTTCACATTTTGGGCTAAACCAGGCCTAAAACCAGGACTAAACCAGGACTAAAACCAGGACTAAACCAGGACTAAATCAGGACTAAACCGGGACTAAACCAGGAGTAAAACCAGGTCTAAACTAGGACTAAAACCAGGACTAAACTAGGACTAAAACCAGGACTAAACTAGGACTAAAACCAGGACTAAACCAGGAGTAAAACCAGGTCTAAACCATCCCTAAACCAAGACTAAACCAGGACTAAACCGGGAATAATCTAGGACTAAAACAGGTCTAAACAATATGACACTAACAGTAGGTGGACATACTCATACATTTCTCATTTCTCATATAAAAAGCATTTCTCTATCAATAATATTTTTAATTTGGTTAAGTACAGTCTGGGCTTTTTATTTTCTTTTATCTGATAAAACATCTTATGTTAAAATATTTGCTTCTCTACAGCAAACAGTTGCCTGTTCATGGAGTCTTGGGCTCAATAGACAATTTGAAGAGAACAAACAAGAACTTTCAGGATGTGGTTGCTACATTCATGTAGTTTTAAAAAGCATGACAATAGCAAGTAATCCAAAGTATTCAGATTACATTACTCACTTTAAGTAATTTAATGGATTATGTTGCAACTCAAGGTATGTAATCTGTAATCTGTAGGGGAATACATTTTAAAAGTAACCTTCCCAACACTGATTATATCATGGCCTGGGTATCAAGATATGTATTGCATCTCCAACTTCTTATTGATACCTGCCCTAGTCTAGAATTCCACAACGCTTATACTACAGTCCCCACCAACTGAAAATGGAAAATGTCAATGGATGTTCAAAGCAGTAGTTATTTCTGTTTTAGCTGAAGCTAGTCCCTCCTAATAGCAGATAATTTGTTTACCCTTTGCTAGTGGTGATGCTCACAGTGTAGTGATAGAACAGTGATTAAATGTTGCCGGAACTACCTGTGCAGTTATTAAAAAATAATGCTCTTAGCTCTTACCATTAACACTGATCTCACTGATCTAATTTGTACTGCTCATTTCTATCCAAAATGTAAAAAAAAAATGCAAATGGTTAGGTTGATCTAAGGGAGGATTTGATTTATTTGTTTGTTTGTTTGTTTTTTATAGTGGCAATGACTTGAAGGTTTATGATGCCATCTTCTCTTCTGACAATACTTGCTGTTGTTGTGTGCTTGGGCAAGACACACCCAGCTTGTATGTGGATGTTAGAGTAAGGGAAGAAGCCATGCAAACTTTTTTAGGGTCTCAATTTATTTCGCAGGTGGTTCCTTTTAAACAACAGTGCCGATATAGCCATTACTTTCTCGTGTTGAGTGCAAATCTGTTCTTGGTGACGTCCTGTGTTTCTAATGGTAACAGGGGAACAATAGGTGGACAGGAAGAAAGCAGGAAATGAAATCTTTGAAGGACCCTTTAGCTCGTCCTACAAAATGTAGGATGTGGAAGAAGCCTAGTGCACAAGGTCAGAAGTCAATGGAACAAACTATGTTACATCACCAGCCCATCGTGGCGTTTTTTTCTCATAGATATTTGTGAAAACCGCTGATTGTGATGGGAAAAACAGGAAGTAATGTTGAGCTGGACACTGTGACCCAGTGGTTGAGCAGGTCTTGGGTTCAATTCCTGGATTAGGCTTGGCCTTTCTTGCGGGTTAGTGTCATGACGCTAAACTTCCAAACTCAATTTCAACACTATAAGTAAAGTTTTTATACCAGTTCTAATACATCTATGACAGTATAAAACACATTTCTAGATAGATTATGCATTTGAATGAAAATAATGCATTTAATTAATAGGTTGTTTTCTTTATGTTTTCTTTAATATTATCATGCAGCCTTATACTAGTTCTGATATAGCTCCAGACCATTCTAAAAGGTCCAACTTTGTCCTATGCATGTAATTTTTTTCTCTTTTTTTCAAGTTAATATCTTGATACCAGTTTCAGTATTGTTTTAGCAGACGTTCAGACAGGATTAATCATTGTCTATTGTACAACTTGTATATCTAGTTAAAAATATAATGTTTACTTTGCTGTACGTGTATCAGGACATAGAAAAAATGAAGAATTTCAAATCTCCAGACCAGTACTGATACAGTTTTATCTAATTTGCACAGCATCTAGCTTATTACAATACATCAAACATTTCACTGTATGTCCTGGGCTTCTATATGTTTTCTTTGTATAAATCAGATTCTTCAGATCCATAAATGCCTACCGTGAGTGTTTCCAGAGTAGATTTACGCGTGAACAAACAGCTGAATGGCTCCATTTTCCAACTATGCACCAGAAAAGTTGAAACCTCGGTCATCTGAATGAAATCAGTTTTACTGCATAACAAGGCTTAAAGTGTATATGTTATGAATTGTATGTAGTTAGTTACAGTTCCCTATTGAAACATGTTGTGCGTTTTCACATGTATTACCTTTTAAAGAATACCTTTTGTTGACATGGTTGAATCAGTTTAGAAATGTCTGTATACTTCTGTTTTGACAATATGTTTTCATTACATGTTTTGTTGCTACTACAAAAGACCAGCTGATGTATTTAGCCCATGCAAATAAAAACACAATCATCTGTCTAATAAAGTATAAAATCATTGTTATTGCATCTAATAGGAATGTTTTTATCAGTACCACTCACTCACACTGTCATTATGAAACCACAGCAGTAGGTTTCCATGTTTGTTTACTGATAGAAAATCCATTAGCTCGACAGATTGGTTTTGCTTCGGTTTGGTTTAATTTAGATTTTCCTTGACGTAGGACTCGAGCTGTGTGATCCTCCCCATCGCCTCATGGTGGCAATGGTGAGCGGTTTCTTCGGTATCTTTGCGGAGCTGCTGTTGCCGGGTCTTGCTGCTCTCTGCCGTGATTGGCCGATTCTTCAGGCTGTGGTCACGCTCCCTCTCATCCTGCTGCTCGGATACTGGTGGTGAGTTTAAGGGGAAGTGTTTGACTCTGTTTACGTTTTTATACTACATTTTATTTATTTATTTTTTTTAATTGTCATCTGAAATTGCTACTGAGAGGTCTACAGCCTATCCTGTCAGTAGAATGATGTGGTTTGGAGTTCAGATTTTGTATCAAGACTATTTTGTTGTTTTAAAAGGCAATGATTAAAACTTTGTATTGGTTTATTGTTTAAAATGTTTAAAATGTGTATGTAATTCCTCAGTCATCCAGATAAGAGCCACAGCTAAAGAAATAATCAATTCTGTCAACTGGACTGCTTTTAGAGTGAAACTTCAGTCCAGTTCACAGAATTACATTTTTCTTTTGGTATTGATTAATATGAGAAAAAATATATTGCCCAGCCTTACTGTCAAATAGATGAGAATACTGAGGAAGCAAATATTTACACTACAGAAGTTTTTAAAACTAAAATATTTTTGTCTGTTTTAACTCTGTTTTATGTGTTTTATATTTGTAATAGATAATGTACACGAATACATGCTCAATGCAAACACCTATAACCTTTTGAAGTCACACCTGACTGAACAGGATCCATCATGCCTCAGTCGGCCTGAACTTAAAGCACAAAAACAAGCTTTTCACAAACAGTCATTACATAACATTACAGCTGCAAAGTAGTGTTAGCAATAACAACTTGAAGATTTACTTTGCTTCCTATAAAAGGCAAATAGTTCCAGATGTACACCTAAACAAAATAGGAATGGTTAATCTTCTACATTTTATATCATGTAGTCAGAAGTTATTCTAATAATATTCTAAAAAAAAAAAAAGAAAAGAAAAAGGAAAAAAGGAAAAATAAAGAATATAGAAAGAAAAATGAAATAACAATAATAATAATATTAAATTATTGCAAAACTTTATGAACAAGGGTGTATGTACAATGCAGAGGCTTATATTAGTAACTGTATCATTACACTGTAGCATACACTGCAGACTCTGTGGCTTATATAGTCATGGCTTATCTAAAATGGTTCTAGCCATTAAAATGTAAATCTTCCTCATGATATAGAGCATGCTGCCCTATAGACTGTGTGATATAACAAGTAAATGGTGTGTGTATGTACTTGTGGATGATAACAGCCCTTTTCCTCCTCAGCTGTAGCTCGGTGTTCCCAGAGTCTCCTCGATGGCTCCTGGCCACGCAGCAGATCCCAGCGGCCCGGAAAAGTCTCCAGGAATTCAGCTCCAGGAACGGGTCTCCTCTGCAGGATGAGATGTTCCCAGGCCAAGTCGTACTGACGGGTAACTAGTTTAACCACTTTAGATTAGTCTCAAGTCTATAGGTCTTATCAGTTAAACAATATCATGAGAATACGTATTCTGAATATGAATTTTGAGTATCTGTATTCCATCACAATACCTTTTTCATTTGGTCCTTAAGTGATATTCAAAATACAGTTACTCTTCTAAAATCAAAGGAATACATGGCGGTACTTGATTTTTTTTATTTATTTTTTTTTAGGTTTCAAATTGCACAGAGTTAGTGAGACATATGTACTGCTCTTGTGGTGGATGCCATTGTGATTTTTCCTTCTCTAAATCAGTGATAGATAAATGCAGAACAAACAGTGAAACAAAAAGACATTTTTGGTTGGAGGAGGTGCTAAGTTCTTCCATAGGGATACACACTTAACATGTTAATTTTGAACCTTTTGTGATTGTGAGCCCACCCCCTACCATGTTTGCTTTGCAGTTTTAAACAAGTTTAAATTAAGTTAGCACCCTGTAGTTATTTATAAAACCTTATATGGTATTATTGTTTTATTGTAGTCTAATTGAACATTCTGTAGTTGCCATTTGAAAAGTTGTAATTATGATTGAATGTATTATCAAATTGGCATCAGCCATTCTAGGTGCCGCCCCTGTGCACAGCTCTACCAAAAGGCTGTTTAGTTTGCTACATTATTTGTAATTGTTAAAGCTGGTGTTTATGTTATACTGAATTGTACCTGGCATGTTTACAGACATTGACTCAGCGTTTGGAGAGGACTGTAAGCCAAGTTACCACACAGTTTTGGAGCTGCGTCGCACTCGAGTCATCTGGAAAAACTGCCTCATTCTCAGTTTCACTTTGTAAGTTTCTAATCATTATTGTCTTCTGCTCAATACCATAATGGGTTTGCAAAGAGTCTTGGGAATTGGTAAAGTTTTAAAGTGTATTTTAATATATTTCTGAACCCTTTTTGCATGTATTCAGACTAACTATAAACTCTTAATCAAAATACTTAGCTTTTGTACTAATGTTTTTTTGTACAGGTTTATTGGGACAGGGATCCAGTACTGCTTCACCCGAAATGTCCACAGCTTCAACACCAACTTCTACTTCACCTATTTTATCCGTGTCCTGACAGGGGCACTAGCATGTGTTTTTATCTTTCTGTCTGTGAATCACTTCGGACGACGAGGGATGCTCCTGCTGTCTGCCATCGTAACAGGACTGTCCTCACTCCTGCTCCTGGCTCTCACTCCATGTATGTCACTTATAGACAGATTTATGTACATGTATCATGTATCTTTCTTTTTTGTTGTTTATCCATTTTCATATTAAGGCTAGACACTGCAGGGAAATAGGAAAAAGTCTTTAAAATAACTGCATAAAAGAGTAATTTGTTTTTCTTACATTTCTTACACATAGAACATATAAATAGTAATAATAAGTTTTTAAATTTAAAAATAATTTATACTGTGTCCATAAGTGATCTTACTTTTGTTCCAGATCTACGTGGGGGTTTGGTCCTGGTGCTGTCTGTGGTGGGGCTGCTTTTCTCTCAGGCCTTGGCGATGCTCAGTGCCTTTTTCGCCACCGAAGTCTTGCCCACCGTCGTCAGGTCAGTGTCCCAAGCAGAGTAAAAAAACTAGTATTGAAACTTGATACTTATTTGAACAAGTATTAATGCTGAAAAAGTCACATAAAGTGTGCAAAACAGAACCTTTTCTGAATACTTTTAGACTGTATAAGACCACAAAAATAATTGGGTCTTATAATGTGTTGAAAACTAAATTTGATTAAAAGTGTATTCATTTTTCTTTGTTCATTATAGTATCAAAATCTGTATCGAGTATCAAGCCTTTTCTTTAGTATCGAAATAGAGTTTGAAATTTTAGTATTGTGACAACACTAGTCCTGGGTCACATTTTTACTTGCCTAGACTAGACTAGACTAATTTTACATTTCACTTTTTGTGCAATACTTGAACATTTACAGCATGTTTAGAACATTTCCGTTGGATTTCCAGTATATCATCTGAATATTAAGAAATAAGAAAATGTGTATATTACTTTTGTCAGTATCACCAGTATAATTCATGTATTTTCTGTTTGCTTTCCCAGAGGTGGGTGCCTGGGCCTGGTGATGGCTGCTGGCTGTGTGGGGATGGCGGCCTCTTCTCTGATGGAGCTCCAGAACAACGGTGGATACTTTTTACATCACGTGATCTTCGCCTCCTTCGCCGTTCTGTCCGTCCTCTGCATCATGCTCCTCCCTGAAACCAAACGCAAGCCTCTGCCAGACTCACTCAAAGAAGGGGAGAGTCAGCGCCGCCCGCCTCTGTTCCTGTCTTATCCGGATCGGGACAGTCTGCCACTGCTACGCACCCGTGCCCCTCTCTCCGAATATAATCCAGATAATTATTCACGGTTAGTTTCTGCCACGAGGAAAATGTTGGCTAAAGACAGTTTGCCCTATAGGATTGCAGTACCGGGCCACTCCCCTCTGCTGTCAGACAGTGATAGTACGGGACAGGACAATGGGACACTACGAGCTGTGGCGTAATCCCCCAACCCCCAGTTAGCTGCATATTATAGACTTCTTACTGTGGACAAACCTTACCTCTGAAGACCATGAAGTGTCTTGAATGGATACAGTGCACTTTACATTTGTGGAATTAAAGGCCCACTATGTAACTTTTCTAGTGTAGAGTCAACCCACCACCTGCTTATCTCCATGGAGATGTTCCACTTTAAGGCCTGATCTAGCTTGTATTTATACAAAATACCCAGTTATACATGAATTATTGAGCGTGCATGCCTATAAACAGAAAGGACCTGTATTTGGCCTACTGGCATTGCTCTTTCTCACCAGAGATACATTTAAATACTGTGAAACTTTCCAGGAAAAAAAAGATTTCCATGAAGATAAGCATTTGGCAGACCTTCCACCAGTAAAGTTGTATAATACACCTTTAAGTGTCTCAGACTTCATTTTTTACACTGTTACGTTGCTGTGTTATTTTCATGAATCAATCTTGTTTATTGTCGTTTTTTTTGGTAAAGTTTTTTTTATTGTACAGGAACACACTGATCAACTGCAAAAGTTAAAATAATACACAACATTATACAGGTTTAGAAATGGGGACTTCATGAGATATTTCATGTATTTTATATAAATATTTACCACTAACAACTACTTCTACTACTTACTAATAAAGTTTAGGCTTATGAACTGCAAGCCATTATCACAATATAGACACAGCTATATGTCTATCTAAATGTTGTGTAATTTGTGAAACCTGACTTAAAAAATAGTTCAGTTTGCCATGATATTCTAATTGATTGATGTCATGTACACCATGTATTTGATTTTCTTATTTTTTATGTCATGTGACAATCTAAAACTGTCCATTTCATGACAGCATGTCACTCTAAACATGTGACCACTGTGTATCATGTGAGCAGCAGCACTTTCCCCATTTACAAACCGCTCATGCACTTTTCATTAAGTCTGTATGATTCAGCAGTGTCACAGAGCTGAGAGGAGCTTCTCATGGTGACCACTAGAGGGCGCCTTATGACGCATTGGATACTGCATCTCCAACACCTTCATTCTGATGCTGTCTGTCCATCTCATTTGTAAACCACTCTGTTCCAATATAATGTAGTTTTTCAAAACACTGAAAGCTAATTTGGGGTTTATTTGTTGCTTTTTGAAGCATTTGCGTATTTTTATGTTCTTTTTATTATTTAAATTCACTCACATAAATAACAGAAACTGTAGTTCATGCCTTACTTTTACTTTATTTTACAATTTCCTGGTACAAAATTGCAAAGCTACTAATGTGCTTCAGTTATTCTCAAGACTTGCTGTATCTTGACTTAATTTCTATGCATTTCCCCCATGACTGCCTTAAATCAGCCATATAGCGAAGGTTCATACTTTTCATTAAAATGTAATGTGAAATGCAGAGTAGGCTGTCATCTGCCTGAGAATATAATTTAGCTCTGTGTAAACATGACTTCATCTGTGCTGCCTTCAGGACACCTGGGATTTTTGAACACGCAGTTATTAAATCCTTTGGCCAATGAATATTGTTTGGGTTTTGTGTGTGTGTGTTTTTTTTTTTTTTTTCTATTTTATTTTTCATTTTATTTTAATAAAACATCATAAAACTCATGCAGTAGCATTAGTACTTTGCCTCATCTTTGGCTGACCACAAGATGGAGCTGACCTTTTGTAGTCTTCCAAGTTTTGAAAATACTTCAAATTAAGTTGATTTAGTTACTTGAAAGAAACTCTGAAAGTATTCTGGTGTATAAAGAGACAAATAACTTTTATAAGTACTACAGTAACACTTATAGTAGGTCTTTTGGCTTAATAGTTTTTTCAATTACTTTCTCTGGATTAGGGTTTGTTTGTTTTTTTAATCAATGCTAAAGATGGCATCAAAATCTATTTTAACTACAATTACTTAATATGTCGATACAATCCACAAGAAACTGAAACTGACACCTTACAAAAAATCTTTAAAAGGTGGTGGCATAATTAAATGACTTTAACCCAAACATTTAACATTTTAAGTGTGTGGACCTAATCCCTAACAAACTGATATAGTCCAAGTTCAAATTTCAGTGGATATTTCTTTCACAGACACCTGCCCCCTATTTTATAATATTGTGAACCTATTTACATGTATTTGTGTTATTTTTTACCTTATATAACCAAATTTACATATTGAAAGGTCCCTTATATATGCCACTCCAGGGAGCGAGTATTTAAAAAAAAGATTATTCTGATAACATGTAAAAGTCACAGCAGAAAGGTCGACCTCCAGTGCGATAAAGACTGTATTTATGTAATTAGCAAGAAAAGAATGAAAGATTTCTGAGAGAAAAAAATTATTTATGCATGACATTTCTAACTATGCACAAATATTAGGAATATCCTGTTTTGAAAACATTCAATGAATAGACATGACCTTGAGCAGTGTGTTTTATAGTACTCACTGGGAGGCAGTAAAATGTGTATAAATACATGCAGTTTGGTCCTGATAATAATATAAAGATTTTTATTTTTTATTTTATTTATTTATTTATTTTTTTAATGCAGTTGTTTTAAAACTGTGGGATTATTAAAGGACCCATATTACACTATTTTCTGATCTATATTATAATGCTGTTTCTTCAAAACATATCCAGAATTGTTTTTGTTTTGTTTTGTTTAATTCACACATATTTAGGCTGAATTCTCTCTAACTGAACACACTTAGTTCCACCTTGTGATGTAATGTGGTAATAGAGGAAGTGCTCCACTGTGTTTTTAAACTCCATGCGCCTTCACTGGAATCATTTGGTTGATTTCAGCCCTGGAATTGCCAATCTCTACTGAACAAAAGCTAAAAGAAACCTATTAACTTGAAATCTACCATCATTTTGAGCCTTGGAGATGTAAACAGACTAAGTACCATTATAACTCAAACATATGTGAATGAAACAAAACTCACCTCAAGGTATGTGTTCAATGAGGTAACAGCATTGCAACATGCTTTAAAGCTCATAAGAGTACATTTTTCCCAATATAGGACCTTTAAGGACAAAAACAACATGCAATAATTTAACTAAATATATTCACTGCCAACAGCAAACTGACCTGGATGTGTAAAGGCACTGGGTCAACGAGAAACATATTTGGGTTATGACTTATGTGCTGGCTTCCATTTTATATTACCCTTTGAGTGGTGAAACTGAACCTTTACAAGTCTAGAGAGTGCATTTTGTTTTATTTTACTTATTTATTTGTTTTGTTTTGAGCTTGACCGTAGTGGACATATGCATAGGCCTAATATCCCAGTGTTTGTAGCCGTCACCCAAAATAAAACTGTCATTTGGTTCCAGTCCAAATTTCCTCTGTCGACCACTGTAAACTATATAAAAAAAAAAAAAGCTTGCATCATTTGTGGGGTGAAAAGGTACAGGAACAGGCTATAATTTGAACACTGAGGGGTTCAAGTCCCACTCTCCCCAGTCTGGATCGTTCTTGGGCCTTGGGTCACTACATCTAGTTTGCTTGATTCATGTTGGCAATTGTGGCTACTGAAATCACCATTAAACTGTGCCCTAATAGCATCATTATGTCAGCTGGGAGCTTGTTGAAAATATAAAATAGCTTAATTAGTGCTGTCATGCGATTAAAAAAATTGAGAGATTAATTAATTATGATCTGTAATTAATTAATCTAATTAATCTCTTTTTAATCTCACCTAAAAATTGCTGAGAAAAGCCTTCAATTTGAGGTATTTTCATTAAAATTCATTATTACATTATTGTGGCAGATCAAAAGACTGATATAGAACAAAAAAAGTGACTTTATAAAGTCATTTATTGTTTAACAAATCTCTCCAAATTGGCTGTTGAGCCCAAGTCTCCATGAATAAGAAACTGTTTGCTGTAAAGCAGCAAAGACGAGGAAATCTGAACATAATAACTTTTGTCTACTTAAAGACAATAAAAAGTCCAGTCTTTCCCTAACCATATTAAAAATATTATTAATAGAGAAATGCTTTCTATATGAGATCACTGGTTTTAGTCCTTGTTTTAGTCCTGGTTTAGTCCTAGTTTAGTCCTGGAATGGATTAATCCTGGTTTTAGTTCTGGTGTTAGTTCTGGTTTAGTCCTGGTTTAGTCCTGGTTTTAGTTCTGGTTTTAGTTCTGGTTTAGTCCTGGTTTAGTCCTGGTTTAGACTTGGTTTAGTCCTGGTTTAGTCCTGGACTGAATTAGTCCTGGTTTTAGTCTTGGTGTTAGTTCTGGTTTAGAGGCGCACAGGAGGAAGCGCGGTTTACGCAGCGTACGCGAGAAAACACGATCCACACGCGGCTCACGGGAGCACGTCGGTGTCCGCGCAGTAACTACGGAAGGAAACGTGGTCCGCGCGTTCTGAGGTTAATGACGATGATGAAGGTGTGTGTTTTGTGTTTGTGTTTGTGTGTGTATAGGACAGTAGTGCAGACATCATGAGCCTATGCAGGTTGTTTTCACCAGTGACATTTAAGTTGTAGGCGATATTATATTTGTTATTTTCTTTTATATTTCACGTCGGGAGAATAATTTCCAAGACACGAATGCGTTTTTACCTGTGCACTGCTGACTCTGTTCTACTGGCTCTTCGACCTCGTCCATTGTGCGACTGACGCCGTAAACGTCGCTCTTACTGCGCGTGTTTTGTGCGGGTTTCCGACAATGAGTGGAATTGCCGAAATTAAAAAATTTATAAATGTGTTTTTTGTGTGTGTGTGTTGTTGTCCCAACAACACATAAAAACAGGTTTTATAATAAAGCAACTCACATACAGAAACAGTAAAGTTAGAGATTAAAAATGAGATTAACGCGATTAAAAAACATAACGCGCTAAATATGACTGTAATTAATTAATCGCAATTAACGCGATAATTTGACACCCCTAAGCTTAATATTGAGAATCATTGAGTGTAGAAGGTGAACATGATGTCGCTCTTTATTGTATGACAGCATCAGCCCTCCAAACTGCTCATCTCATTCAACAATATCTTGTGCCTATAGATGATTTACCCCACTGCTCAGTGACACACTTGAAATAAATGATTCCCAGGAGAATACTGATGCTTAGACGCTTGACATTTGTAAACGTCAGTGAGTCTCTGTGAACGTTGATTAGTTTTGTACGACCATTTTAGCTGAAAATTTGTGCATTGCTAGGATGTCACTGTGTGATGAAAAACTTTGTCACAACAGCTGGTAGCCTTCAGCTCAAGGTTCAATTTAATATAAGATAAACCTTTTTAACTGCAAGACAAAGAATCTGAACTTCTCCACAGGTCATGGTCTGTCTTTTTATATATTTTATAAAAAGACATATATATTTTTTACATTTACTTTTTCTGTGTATTGGGGAGACTGTAATTGTCACTATATAAATGTGTAAAATGTATATAGTTAATGTGTCCTTTATCATCTTCTCATACAAATGTTAAATGTATTTCCCATTTCCTGTTTGTCACGGATGTTTATTAATATCAATAAGAGGTGAGGACCAACCAATATGAGCCAACGACAAACCCTTGTTAACAGTTCACTGCGATAATGACTGATAGAAGAATGTAGTTACTATTGACCAGAGGTGAGAAAAGTATCCAAAAATGTACTCAAGTAAAAGTCTTGTTTCTCCATATTAGAAGTACAAAAACATGATCCAAGAAATTACACAAATAAGTAAATCAGGAAGAATATTTGGGGAAAAGACTACACAAGTAAGAATAATTGTCTAATCAGAGGTTAATGTATTTTGAAGGACTGCTTAAAATGAAATGAAAATGCGTAAAATAAAAAAAATTACACAAAAACAAACTTTCAAATAATTTAAATTGTAAATATTAAGCTTTTTATTGCAATAGGACTCAGACAAGAGTACTGCTACTACTTACTATAAAATCCTCAAGTAAGAGTAAAATGAGGTGTGAAAACTACTCAGTGAAGTACAATTATAATATATTACAAAATAATTAAGCTAATGTATGAGATTACAAATGAGTACTACCCAGTTCCATAGTTATTCATGTGATAGTGTAATGAAAGCCTGTATAAAGAGAGGGAGCAGGAGCGTGACTATGGCGAGGTGGTGCTCAGGGGCATGGTTTGTAACGTTGTACCCGTAGCTCGTCCGACATGGGTTCTCCACCTGCTCATACGGGATCGGGACATCATCAGGAGGACTGCTGCTCAGACTGTCACGCACCTGTACAAGACCACAACCAGTTAATCCTATAAACAATAAAGCAACAGAACAGCGTACATGCTACAATTTAGTCTAATTAAAACATGGTTTAAATCAACTAGTATTTTTATAATTACTTGGGAAAGTTTATGACAGGTATTACTGGGTGTAATTAAATATGAGGATAATAGTTGATCACCAGAATAGTAATCACACTTCACTTGCAATATCCTGCCAACTGACAGACATAAAGGACTTCATTTTCAAAACAGTATCCAGGGTGTTTGTGTTTTGATTCTCAACGGCCCCATAAGTACATTGTCCATTAATATTTCTCATAGACTTTTCGAAATGTTCAAACATTAAGAGTCTAAAGGCACAACAGTGGCTAATCAGCTATGTGGTAACTAATGTCAGTAATGCTGGTAAAAGGAGAAATTCAATTTGTCAACTGAACAAAAGTTTAAAAAAAGAAAAAAGTTCCCCTCCTTGAACCGTCACCTTATCGTGGTGGAGGGGTTTGAGTGCCCGAATGATCCCGGGAGCTATGTTGTCGGGGGCTTCATGCCCCTGGTAGGGTCACCCAAGGCAAACAGGTCCGGGGGGACGGGTCAGACGAAGAACGGTTCAGAAGCCCTGTATGACAAGTGTACCAACAAGGCCAGTTACGTCGCCCGGATTGGCGTCACCGGGGCCTCACCCTGGAGCCAGGCCTGGGGTGGGTGCTCGCCAGCGAGCGCCTGGTGGCCGAGCCTCCCCCCACGGGGCTCGGCCGGGCTCAGCCCGAAGGAGCGACGTGGGGCCTCGGCGACCAGATCTCCGGACATGGAGACTAGCTCTGGGGACATGGAATGTCACCTCGCTGGGGGGGAAGGAGCCTGAGCTTGTGCGGGAGGTTGAGCGTTACCGACTAGATATAGTCGGCCTCACCTCCACGCACAGTTTGGGCTCTGGAACCCAACTCCTTGAGAGGGCTGGACTCTCCATTTCTCTGGCGTTGGCCGCGGGGAGCGGCGGCGGGCTGGGTGTGGCCTGCTCATTGCCCCACAGCTCAGTCGCTGTGTGTTGGAGTTCACCCCGGTGAACGAGAGGGTCGCGTCCCTGCGCCTTCGGGTCGGGGACAGGTCTCTCACTGTGGTGTCGGCCTACGGGCCGAACAGCAGTGCTGAGTACCCGGCCTTCTTGGAGTCCTTGGGAGGGGTACTAGACAGTGCACCGACCGGGGACTCCGTTGTTCTCCTGGGGGACTTCAACGCCCACGTGGGCAACGACAGTGACACTTGGAGAGGGGTGATTGGGAGGAACGGCCTCCCCGATCTGAACCCGAGTGGTGTTTTGTTATTGGACTTCTGTGCTAGTCACAGTTTGTCCATAACAAACACCATGTTCGAGCACAAGGGTGTCCATAAGTGCACGTGGCACCAGGACACCCTAGGCCGGAGGTCGATGATCGACTTTGTAGTCGTGTCATCTGATCTCCGGCCGCGTGTCTTGGACACTCGGGTGAAGAGAGGGGCTGAGCTGTCAACTGATCACCACCTGGTTGTGAGTTGGGTTCGCTGGCGGAGGAGGAAGCCGGAAAGACCTGGCAGGCCCAAGCGTGTAGTGAGGGTCTGTTGGGAACGTCTGGCGGAGCCCTCTGTCAGAGGGACTTTCAACTCGCACCTCCGGGAGGACTTCTCCCGGATTCCGGGGGAGGCTGGAGATATGGAGTCCGAGTGGGCTTCATTCTCGGCCTCTATTGTCAATGCAGCTGCTCGGAGCTGTGGGCGTAAGGTCTGTGGTGCCTGTCGCGGCGGCAACCCCAGAACCCGGTGGTGGACACCGGAAGTAAGGGATGCTGTCAAGCTGAAGAAGGAGTCCTATCGGGCCTTGCTGGCTCGGGGGACTCCTGAGGCAGCTGACGGGTACCGGCGGGCCAAGCGTGCTGCAGCCCGTGTGGTCGCGGAGGCAAAAACTCGGAGCTGGGAGGAGTTCGGGGAGGCCATGGAGAAGGACTATCGGACGGCCTCAAAGAGATTCTGGCAAACCGTCCGGCGCCTCAGGAGGGGAAAGCAGTTCTTCACCAACACTGTTTACAGTGCGGGGGGAGAGCTGCTGACCTCGACTGGGGACGTTGTCCGGCGGTGGAAGGAATACTTTGAGGATCTCCTCAATCCCACCGTCACGTCCTCCGAGGAGGAGGCCGAGGCTGGGGACTCGGAGGCGGACTCATCCATCACCCTGGCCGAAGTCACTGAGGTGGTTGGCAAGCTCCTTGGTGGCAAGGCTCCGGGGTTGGATGAGATCCGTCCTGAGTACCTGAAGTCTCTGGATGTTGTGGGGCTGTCTTGGCTGACACGCCTCTTCAACATCGCGTGGCGGTCGGGGACAGTACCTCTGGACTGGCAAACCGGGGTGGTGGTCCCTCTGTATAAGAAGGGGGACCGGAGGGTGTGTTCCAACTATAGGGGGATCACACTCCTCAGCCTTCCCGGTAAGGTCTATGCCAGGGTACTGGAGAGGAGAATTCCGGCCGATAGTCGAACCTCGGATTCAGGAGGAGCAGTGTGGTTTTCGTCCTGGCCGTGGAACACTGGACCAGCTCTACACTCTCCATCGGGTGCTCGAGGGTTCATGGGAGTTTGCCCAACCAGTCCACATGTGCTTTGTGGACTTGGAGAAGGCATTCGACCGTGTCCCTCGTGGTGTCCTGTGGGGGGTGCTCTGGGAGTATGGGGTCCGGGGCCCTTTGCTAAGGGCTGTCCGGTCCCTGTATGACCGGAGCAGGAGCTGTGTTCGCATTGCCGGCAGTAAGTCAGACCTGTTCCCGGTGCATGTTGGACTCCGCCAGGGCTGCCCTTTGTCACCGGTTCTGTTCATTGTGTTTATGGACAGAATTTCTAGGCGCAGTCAGGGGCCGGAGGGGGTCCGGTTTGGGGACCACAGGATTTCATCTCTGCTGTTTGCGGACGATGTTGTTCTGTTGGCTTCATCGAAGCCAGGACCTGCAATGTGCACTGGGGCGGTTTGCAGCCGAGTGTGAAGCGGCTGGGATGAAGATCAGCTCTTCCAAGTCCGAGGCCATGGTTCTCGACCGGAAAAAGGTGGCTTGCCCTCTCCGGGTGGGTGGAGAGTCTTTGCCTCAAGTGGAGGAGTTCAAGTATCTCGGGGTCTTGTTCACGAGTGAGGGAAGGACGGAACGTGAGATTGACAGGCGGATCGGTGCAGCTTCGGCAGTGATGCGGTCGCTGTATCGGACCGTTGTGGTGAAGAGGGAGCTGAGTCGAAAGGCGAAGCTCTCGATTTACCGGTCAGTCTTCGTTCCTACTCTCACCTATGGTCATGAGCTCTGGGTAGTGACCGAAAGGACGAGATCGCGGATACAAGCGCTCGAAATGAGTTTCCTCCGCAGGGTGGCTGGGCGCTCCCTTAGAGATAGGGTGAGGAGCTCAGTCACACGGGAGGAGCTCGGAGTAGAGCCGCTGCTCCTCCACGTCGAGAGGAGCCAGTTGAGGTGGCTCGGGCATCTGTTCCGGATGCCTCCTGGGCGCCTCCCTCGGGAGGTGTTCCGGGCATGTCCCACCGGGAGGAGGCCACGGGGAAGACCCAGGACACGCTGGAGGGACTATGTCTCTCGGCTGGCCTGGGAACGCCTCGGGGTCCCCCCGGAGGAGCTGGAGGACGTGTCTGGGGTGAAGGAAGTCTGGGAGTCCCTGCTTAGGCTGCTGCCCCCGCGACCCGGCCCCGGATAAGCGGACGAAAATGGATGGATGGATGGATGGACAAAAGTTTATTTGGTCGAATACATTGTGCAGCTCATCCAAGCTACTTCTTCAGTTCTGGTCAGACGCTGGTCAGCTAACTACACTGAAACTACTCTGGAACTAACAGACCTATTTGTTTACAGTTTGTGTTAGTTAACTAGGCCTACTGAGCTGCACTGAATGTGTTCTCTTTCTTAACAAGAAATAAGAAAGAGAATCCTTCTTTAAACAGAAATTGGGGACTCATCATCTATCTCCTATTTACAACTCCATCCACAAACATAATCAGAACAAACAAAGAAAACAATAGGGATAGCCAGGCCAGGCCCAGAGGTGTCCCCACATTCAGTGCAGCTCAGTAGTATAACTAACAGAAACTGTAAACAAGTAGGTGTGTTAGTTTCAGAGTAGTTTCGGTGTAGTTAGCTCCTCCCTTTAGGCAGATATAAGGCAGTGTCCAAAAATGTACAGGAACAGGCTATAATTTGGACATTGAGGGATTCAAGACCCACTCTCCCCAGTTTGGATTGTCCTTGGGCAAGTCACTACTTCTATTTTGCCTGATTGGTGTTAGTCAAAAATACTCTCTACATCTGGACATTTGTGGCTACGGAAACCACCACTAAACTGTGCCTTAATAGCATTATTACGTCAGCTGGGAGCTTGCTGAAAAGATAAAATAACTTAATATTGTACAACATGTTATTCCTTTACCTTTCTGTAAATATATGGCATATCCTTGAGCTCCTTGAGGTTCACTCATTGAGAACATTGAGAATCATTGAGAGTTGAAGGTGAACATGATGTCACAGCTTGGATGAGCTATGAAACATATTTGACCAAATAAACTTTTGTCTAGTTGATAAATTGAATTTCTCCTTTTGCTATGGTTTCTACCTGGACGACTGAAGGATTGTACACTAATGTCAGTAATACTGTTGTTCAGACAAAAACACACTTGAAGTTTAAAAATGTTTTAATAACTTCAGAAAATCTACAGGAAATACAAATGGAAACAAGTAGAAGGCAGACTCTTGAGCTCTACTTCATTGCATTCACAGTTAACCTTCAGACCACCCATGTTCATTTGTAAGGTTAAAAACAATTGTGTGCATCAAATTGAATTATCATAAGTTTGACCTTTGAACCTAATTTCATCATTCACTAATAGAACTTAATTACCCTTTTATACAAATTCCTGTCTCATTCAGATATGGTTTTATCTTTGAAATAGCCTGGTTTAAATCCCACTCATTATTGTTAATTGATGTATGTTAGTGGTCCTCACCTTCTCTACTTCCTTCATCACTCGGAGCAGGTTCTCTCCCAGAGCAGCCTTCACCTCCGTGTCTGTCCAGCCTCTCCTCAGCAGCTCGGCCACTAAGTGAGGCACTTTGGACACATCCTCCAGGCCCTGAGGCAGCCTGACAATCACAACACTACTTTAATGTACTCTTCCATCAAAGGGCCAATCCCACTACATAAACTCAGACGCAGTGTGATATTATTACCGTTACTACATTGATTTTTGTTGCTGTTGTGTATTACAGACTTATACAACTGAAAATACATGATTTTTGTCAGTAATTATCAGATTAGAACAAAAAATCTAAATTAAAAAATATGATGAATATGATGAGATCGCAAGATGAATACATTTTACATTTTACATACTGTGGATTTGTGTATCTTTAATATTCAGTTGTATAATATTCCCTTTAAAAAACACCTGCTGAGTCTTAGCCAAACACCATCTTGGAGTTGTTTCTTATCCAGATTCTGTATTTATCATAATAATTTCATCTTTTCCATTAAAGGTACATTTGCAATTAGTTTCATGCATTTATGTGTCAGAAATTTTCCACAGTAGCCCAAGAAGAAGCCCAATAAAAAACACAAAGACTATGTGACTATCTGGCCTGAGGTAGATAAATAGCCACATTTATCACAGTCTGACCAGCCAAGACTAACTTTTGTCAAAGAGGTGAGTCTAGAGTCCTATCTCACTCCTGGGCAGGAGTGATATGTGCAACCAGTGAACTACTGAACAATCTTATGAGGGAGTTATTAAGGTTCAATGATTTTAAGCACATTTTTTGGTTTAAGTTGGTTTAATTTGATCTTTTGATTCAAACGTTTATCCAAACAGGAGTCTTAAGTGCTCAAATCATTTGGAACATTTCTCATCAGTTCACACAGGTCTCAGGCTCTTTTCAAAACATTTGGCAGTGAATCAGTAAATTCAACTGCTGGGCCAAACTCTGTTGCTTTCAATAAAGAAAATCAAATATGACTGCAAAAAATAAACAAAACTAAAAGGTATAGTAGCATATGCCTGTATATACCATATCTCCAGTGTCCTGTTGGTAAATGTCTTGTTTAAATTTCAAGAGTGCGTGTGTGACTGCATCATACTACATTGTTAAGGAAAGTCATAACCCTGTTTGGGTTTCTGTGTGAGTTGTTTTGCAAAAGTCAGTTTTCAATAGTGAAGTGTGTCAAAGTGACTGAAAAACATATAAGTTACAGAGACATTTGTGTTTTGTGTTTGAATGACACTGCAGATAAATGATTAAGGCTGATTCAAGACCAAATTGTGAGAACATTTGCTTTCAGTTGGGCTCCACATGCGCCTACTTCTGAAAATATATAAAGGTCAGCATCAGGTTAATGTGTACTCTTTGGTAAGTAACCAGCAGGGCTTTACTATTGAAGCAGAAAATGAAGTTTAGGTTCAGATGTATAAAAAAACAGCAGCTGTGGCCCTGTGCTGAGAGTTGTGCAAATAATGAATGAGTAAAAGGTGCTTACAGGGTCTACTTCTATGTGTTCAATGGCCTCCCAGGAAATAGACTGTAATAGCACAAGTAGAAGTGAGGGAGGACACCAAAGATTAACTTTCTTCAACAGCATCACAGCTTGGGCTGAACAACATTTGATTATAGAGACTGTCAAAGGCAACTATTGCCATTGTCACAAACATCAAAAGTCAAAAGTACTGATGGGCCTTTGTGAGGACATTGACTACATTTATTTATTTATTATTATTTTTTGTTATGTTATAGTGGAGCACCTGGTATATTTTATTAGTGTATATTTTATTTACCATTTTATATCTTTTTGGTTTGAATCTTAAATAGATTATGATGACTTTGGTTGGTGTCTCACATTGTTTCTGTAGGACCACTCCTTGACCAATACGTACTCCTATTCTTCAAATTTGCGGTTTTATGATTTTTGATCATGTTATCTTAAGGTTGTATTGTAAAACCAGGATGGTAATATACTAGTCAAATAAAAATACTATAATGAATATGAAAGCACAATTTTGCTAATCTGTAGTGATGTTTAGCAAATTAGGGCTTATCCCATTCAGGAAAACCCACAAGGACCAGGTAGTAATGAAAAACAAAAATGTCTGACTTTTAATGTGCCCTGTGTTGTGTCTGAAATGGCAATTTATTCATTGGTGAACTACATGTAAGGTCATGCACAGTCATTTCAAGTGATTTCATTTGTACCTGTAAGTAGAAATAAAGCAGTCAAATGTGTTAAATTGTAGGCTAGCATTTTAAGGTTTTTGCAGAGTTTCAGTGAGGTCCTATGTGAATATAGTATAATAAAACACATTTTGGGTAATTTTTTGGTTTACTTTTTGTGCAAGCTTTATCAAATATGCCACAAGTGTAGAGTTAGTCTTTAAGTCTCTCATCAACTTATAAAGTGTCACATAAATTATCTGAATTCATAAAATATATAAAATTTGAAAAATTTGTATTTTTACATATACATACCTTTTAACTCCATCATAGTCTCCACCAAAACCTACAATCTCAGCACCACCAATTTTCTTTATGTGGTCAAAGTGATCTAAGAAAATAGAGGAAGAGCTCATAAACATAATAAAAGTAGTTTCTTATCCACTTTACAACAGGGTGTATAACAATAGCTTACCAGCAACGTCTGAGATGGTAGCCGTGTGACTGCAGGTGACATAATCATTGTAAAAGTTCACCATCACAATCCCCTTCTTTTCTTTCTGCAGAGGAGAAAACATATTTATCAGTAAAGGTTCAAATACAGTAAAACAAGTCGATTTATTACAAATACAGACATAAAAAATATTATTTACAGAGAATGTGTCATTATAAAATATAAAGTTAATTCTGGCTGCAGCATATGGAATAGCAGGCGTTATGCTACTATGCAGTTACAATCATTTTGAAATCTTTCTGCTCAGTTTAACTCCATAATTTCCCCTTTAAGTTTATGTTATATGATTGCACTTTTACTTTTGTTTTTATTTAAAAAGGTAAACCAATAGATATCAAGAAATGCCAAGAGTGGAACCTTTTTTTTACTAATAGGGGAGTGGCCACACACATTAACTTACATTCTGTCCAGTTAAGACTTTTGAGACTGCGAGGCACTTGTATAACTTGTGTATGTAATATATATATATATATATATATATATATATATATATATATATATATATATATATATATATATATATATATGTGTGTGTGTGTGTGTGTGTTCACAGAAGGTAATATATTTTCATTACACACACACTGCTGTATTGACCTTCAGTTTCTTATCGTCAAGTGTTTTTCAGTCATTCACCTTATTTTTATCTGTTTATTGTTTTACGGGGGTGCTATCACTTTCATGTTGTATTAGAGATAACTTCTGTGCACAAGAAAACTGTGGTACAATTATGAAGGCTCAGTTATCAAAGTGGTAGGTGCTGTATATGGAGCTTTATCGCAGGTTTATGTTCTCACCACTTTAGTGAGGATGTGATCTGGGACGTTCCTCTTGTTGTTACAGATTGAATAGGCCGAGGAGTGGCTGAAGATCACAGGAGCCTTGGACATCTCTAAAACCTGCTCCATCACTTTCACTGTCACATGAGCCAAGTCGATTAGCATACCAAGACGATTCAACTCATTTATTACTTGCTGGAGGGGATCAATAAAACAAAATAATAGTCAAAACTAATTTATTTTCTTTTTCATTTTAATTCAGTTCGGCCTTATTGGGCTGATTACCTTGCCAAATGGTGATAAACCATCGTGTTGAGATGGCTCTGACCCTGTGTCCACAAGCCAATTATCTGCCCTGTAAGAATGACATAAGGAATGGCACAATGGTTCGGGCATTGAATTCTGCTTTTAAAAATCATTACTGTTACAAAATTCAAAGCTTAAATGAGGAGAGTGGTGTACCAGGGTGTGTTGCAGGAGTGCGTGAGGGTGAGGTAGCGCACTCCGAGCTGGTACATGGTGCGGAGGGTGCCGAGGCTACTGTCGATGGAGTGACCGCCCTCTACCCCAATCAGGCTGGCTGTCTTATTCTGCTTGAATGCGTCCAATATGTCTGTGCAGTCATATGAAACAACACGCAAACCTCAGCACTTTGGTTTTCATCTTTTTAATGTTAAAGGAGAGATAAGTTCTTACCTTGGCTGCTGGAAGCAAACATAAAAACATCAGGATATTTCTGACACATCCTGTGAACGACATCGATCTGCTCAAATGTCTGCCTCACAGCATCTTTGTACTGACTGTCACATCGAACAAAGGCTGACCAGAACTGGCAAACAACAAGTTTGAAATAGTTAATATGCTACATGTAAATGTACAGCTATTCACTGTCACTCAAGAGTGAAGGGTCTACAGTCGGGATCATTATCCACTCAGCCACCGTGTATACCATTTACATGTGTATTACATTTTGTTACTTAAAACATGTTCATATCAATGTAAAGGGGTTCTAATATTGAATCTTGTGGAACACCTCTTCTTTTTAATGTCATGTAATGCATCCACACAATATCCTTTTATTTTAAAAAAACTTGAAATATTTATGATTATGTATATTTATTTTCTTACCTGTGCTCCTAGTCGTCCTTGCTTGATTTTGGGGATATTGGTGTGTGTCCCATTAAATGTGTGTAGATCCACTTTGCTGAGTTGGTTGTTAAAAAGTAACCTCATTTGCCAGGGTAGGTCATTATGCCTATAAAATTTTTAAAAAGGGATATTTCAAATCTTTTCTTACATGTGTAATTAAATAATGTGGATTTAAGAATGCATATAAAACTTCCAAAACTAAAACTTCCAAAGCATATAAACTGCTTCCAGAAGACTCAAATTTGGTGCTAAATGTTTTTCAGGATTTCTTCCCTTTCAAAATGTTTCTTGACACTCACCCATCGATTAGAGGCGTCTCTGACATCAACTGGAAGGCCCTGGTCAGGTGTGGATCCTCTGCACAGTTTACAAAACATCTGACACAAAAAACAATAAAAAATAGCTTTGCAAGATCCCTGCCCACCATTCTCACAATATTATGAGATCCAACTAAGAAAAAAATCTAGTTTTACTATCCAAAGGGCTTATCCAACTTGAAGCATTTGTCAGATATTATTCCTAGTCTAGAAGATGTCCTTCAGTCATTGTTGCTTGTTTTATTATGTCGCCAGTGTTTGTTGCTCCGCCTGTTGTCGTTTCTCCATTATACTGTCAGCAGTTGTAAAAGATTCACATATCGCTTATACATTTATAGTATTTTGTCAATGTGTACTATGTGTTAAGAAACTGAATAAAATGCACTGTAATGTTGATTTGGCTGAGATGTTTTTGATATATTAAAATGAACAGGCAATACATATGTTATACTTTATTAGGCCCTTATGTTTGTCCTCTGTATTTGATCCATCTTGCATTGTCTCTAGTGAAACTTGTCAGGAGCAGTGGGCAAATGCAGTATGGAATGGTCTCAGATCGAGCATGGCAGATGTTAATAGTGAATAGTCTTTGTTGTTTTTTTTCCATTATTACATTATTAGATAACCTTCCTTTAAAGACATTTATTTCTGTCTCACTGGTTCCAAATCACTTCTTCAGCCATTCAACAAGATATGAGAAAATGTCGATTCATGATTCACTTTGACACGCATAATGCTGTTTATTACTTTATTGCTATTTATCTCATCATGATCATCTGTTTAACATTTATAAAGGCAAAGATAACAATGGCTGTAATTCACAAGTGGTAACATTGTGAATTTGATTTTTGACTTTGTGAAACCTGTCAGAAGCCTTCACACTTAGAGCAGCCTTACACTCTTATCCATCAGGTCAGACAGGCAATACAACTTTGAGTTTGGTTGTTTAGAACAAAATCCTGGAAACATTTCTACTTCAGAGCCTGCTGCCTTTGACACAGAAAACGGGAAGGTCATTTTCAATCAATCAACTTTGACCTTTCCCATAGATACTGTGAACAATAATGTTATTGTACTAATTTCATACTAAATGCTTGCTACATTTATAGTGCAAAATGTTCTCTTCTGTTGCCTTGAATGATGAAATTAATGAAACTGCAGGTGTTCTGTGATTTTATCAGACTTATGTATCAGCTAAAAAGATAACATTTATAATTAGACTATACAAAGGTTTTTTTTAGACTCTGAGACTCCTCAGGTTTCTCAAATACCTCGGCTGTAGATGCTTGTAAACTCTGACATTTTTTGCCTGTTTGTCACCCTGCTGCTGTGAATTCTGCTGTAACACCATTACTGTACTGTAAGAATGATTTCCATGCCTCTGTGCTTGTTTTTCATTTTTGCCAGATACAACAGAAATCAACAGTACCAGGAACTGGAAGTACAACCAGAGCAGACGTCACTCAAACATGAATCATTTGAGTGTTGAAGCTGGGTATTGAAAATCTGCAGAACAATTGCTAGCGTAATCTCAAATGAAAATCTATAGATGCACAAAACTGATAAAGCATACAATATTTGAATGTTGAATATTGATGATCATGTGATTATTTGCTTGCTTTGAAAACCTATGTTGACCTGTAACATTCAATAAAATGATTAGACCATATAGTACAGTATTAGAATAGGAATAGTTGTTTAACAAAATAAAAGTATAATGTCTTCATAAACTTTATTTTTATTCAATCAAATACAGAGCAATAGGTTTATTATAAAATGCACTGGAAAAATGAAAGACGTTAATCTAAATAATGATCTAATTAAAAATGCAGAGGGAAGCAAAAATAAAAAATAAATTATTTATTAATTTTTTTAAATGCATGTATAATAACTATTTTAGCATGACCTCCAATGCTTTTTTTTTTACTGCACCAGTGAGGTAAGACTTGTGGTACTGATCTACGCCTGTTTATCAAATTCATTTTCTAAGCCTGTTCCGTCCGCTTGTCTTGGTGCTGGTTGCGTGAAATCCTCGATAGTTAAACAAAGAGTATATGGCATGAGAGCAGATTGTGCCTTCAGTCCTGATAACTGCTGTATGGGTTGATAAGAAAATATAAACACACACAGACTCTGCTGATACGTGTGATATCAAACCATCCACGCTCACACCATGTTTCGTTCATGTCACAGCCCTTGGCCCTGTAGCTAAAGTGATGAGATTGTTGTCACTGTGCCACATTATGTGGCAATGAAATGACTCTTGGATCAGCAGTTCGTGTCTGTAACATATAGGCCCATTATATTTTCCAATCTCATGAGTGTAACCAGACTTTCATGTTCTAGATTAACGGTAAATCCATCCAACCTGAGGAGGAACAGTGATGCTGTTTTCAAAAAGGCTCAGTTCAGACTGTTCTTTTTAAGGAAACTTAAATCTTTTGATGTGAGCAGGAGGCTACTGAATGTGTTCTATCAGGGCATTTGTGGCCAGTGAGTTGTTTTATACTGTATTGTGTTGGAGCAGGAATGAAAAAGAACAATGAAAAAGATGATTAAAAAGCTGACAACTTTTGTTTTGTTTTTGGTTGTTGTTGTTTTTTTTTAAACATACATAAGTGTCTGCTGCAGACTTTAAAGTAAAAAAAAAAAAAAGTTTCAATGAAGACTCTTTATGTCATTCTTGTATGGCCGTGTTAACCTTTTATACTTTACATTTCTACAAAAGTCCATTTGACACGAGGTACAGGGTTCATATGTCGGCTTTTCACTGCCTTCTTGTGACACATGTGAGCAGGGTGAGAAGGGACTTAGCACCTCTGAGTGTTCAACCCTGACAGAGGAGAGGAGAGGGGAGGGGAGGAGAAGAGAGGAGAGTATAGGAGAGGAGAGAAGAGGGGGCAGAGGTGAGGCTAGTGTCATGGGTAATGGGCCCACATCACTGCAGTTCAGCCTCTACAGTAGATAGGCACCTTCTACTACAGTCATTGTGTCTTAGTCAATAGTGTAAGAACAATGCAAGAGAATTTAGAAGCAGAACTATGTAGGCCTAGTAATTGAATTTTTATTTTTAGAGCTGCATAATACATTGTATTTTTATTGTTGAAAAATGGCTATGAGACACATCATAAGATCGTATGATACAGAGTCTGTTTTTTTGTTTGTTTGTTTAAGGGACAGTTCGAAATATTGGACATAGGACCTCATTACCTAGTGAGTGAGACTGTTGAAGACATGTGGAGACACTTTTAAAAATATTCCATCCAGTTCTTGTATTTGCAGAGGTCGCTGGTGCTAGGCTTTTGCAATGGGCATAGTTAGCCTGCCACTAATAACAGGTCTTACCCACTCCACAAAGCACCCGAAGCAAATCTATTATCTTGTATCACATGAATCATTGCATACTGAGGGACTATTTTTTCATATATCAGTCCGCCGCTGCCAAGCTTTCTATCAGGAAGTACAACTTGTTGCTGCTGCTCAGACTTAAATCCTTCAAATGCGAGGCTGGTTTTACTTCTAAAATGATCCTGTCGACACAGACATTTAAATTGACAGTCTGGTGTAATAATAGATTTGTTTTGGGTGTTTTGTGGAGTGGGTAAGATGGTTTTTAGTGGCAGGCTAGCTATGGCCATTGACATGCACTAGCCTAGCACCAGCGATCTCTGCAAATACAAGGACTGGATAACTCTGGACACTCTGGCTCACTAGGAAATGAGGTCCTATGTCCAAATTTCTGAACTGTCCCTTTAGAAATTCGACTAAGTGGGAGAGTTTATGGGGGTAGCTGAAAACTGAAATTTTCTGAGCCCTCAAGCCCCAAATGCAGGACAATAAATAATAAAAAAGTATCAAAATTTAAAATCACACATACTAAAAACTTAAAAGCGGGTTTGACTGTTGCATGTTTCTTAATTTTTCCTAGTCATTTTTCTGTTTGTGAGAATTGTAGTGGAATAGAAATTACCTGCTTTCAAGTGAAAAAAAAAAACTCCACTGTAAAATGTATTTAATTAAAGATTAAAGATTACAGATTTTTATCTTCCACCATTTCCAGTGAGTTATGACTATGCTGACAAGTTAAACAGCAAAAGCTCATAATGTAATATAATAGGCAATGATTCACTAAGATAACTGTGGGATTGCATTGTCAGTATATTCTAATTTAAACTTGTGGGTGGGTTTGTTTATTGCTGCTGCTGACTAAATGGGCACAGACAACTCAACTAAAATGTAGGAATGCAAGTCAGTTAAAGTTTTAGTCATTTTCTGGGCAGCTCATTTTCATTCAGAAGTGTCCTGACTGCCAACAAACCACATTGTAGCCTGGAGTAGTTCAACACTGATGCTGAAAAGTATCCACAAATAAAACATAAATCATGTTTACAAAATGGCTAGCCTATTTATTTATTTATTTATTTATTTATTTATTTATTATTTATTTATTTATTTATTTATTTATTTATTTATTTATTTATTTATTTGGGACAGGCTGACTGCAAGCATAAGGGCTACCCACTAGTGCCAAGACCAGTCGACACAGCATATTATTCACGGAGTCTCTCAAGTACCTAAAATTACTTAATAATACAGCCAATAAAATGTAACAACTTAAGAATTTAGTCTCAGCAGAATATCAATTTAAGTTTAGTCTCATGTAAACCAACTTACAACAATTTATGTCTATGAATCAACTCATGTTTTAAAGCTTTTTTAAATTTGGGCAGTGTTTCAATTCACTTTTTCATCACTGCAATCAAATTCATGACTTTAAAACTGGCAGAGAAGTTGTTTAATAAGCTGAAAATTGAGGGCTCAAAATCACCTAAAAAGCGATTCATATTTACTTGCATACAGACATAATGTTTCAGACTCAGAAGCATTATTTCAGGTATTAGATTTCTTGCAGTCCGTCCTGTTTGATCTATATGATTATCATGCTAATGTGAAGGTGGACACATGACTGAAGGACCTCGGTGTATTGTTGGAGTTGAAATAAGCAGACCTCCTCCTAAGTGGCTGCAGAGAGTGGACTGCCCTGTTCTGATCTGCACTGAAGAGGTCAAAGGGGCAGGGGCTGCTGGTGAGTGCTGTGTATCCTTGTGTATCTAAACTGAATAATTTTCTCTTTTCATTGTTCCACCTGAAAAATATGGCATTGTTTTAGCAGCACTGTGGTTATTTGTAGATTGTTGTATTTGTTTAGTTTCACATTCAAATGCAGATTGCTTAAGTTTTGTCATGGGAAAATTATATTATTATAATGTCTCTTGTTGGCTTCACGCCTTAATGCACAATGCACAAGTGAATTGACTGTTGCTTATTTAAGATGGATATAATGTCTTGTGGAGAATTGTGGTCAAGAAGTTAGTACTTCCGCTAAACAGCAAGGGGGTCCCTGGTTTGAGTCCCGGACAAGTCTCAGCCTTTCTGCTCCATGTGTCTGGACACTCTGGTTTCTCTTATCAAACTAAAACATCACAATAGGTTTCCAGCTAGGTTCTCCTGACCAAGAGCAAGAGCAAGGGTGTCAGCTTTAGGAATATAATATGTTAGAAGATGGTTACAATCCAGTTTCTTTAACAATGCTAGACTATGACTTCTTGGGTTCTTTTTAAAGGCAATAGTTTAATAATGGATCAGTTTATATAGTGCTTTTTTGGACATTCAAAGGCGCATTACAGTTCACTATTCATTCACTCCACACTCAGTATTACAGCCAAGTGTTCCTCAAATGTTGGACTTTTTCCACCTAAAATATATTGATGCCACTAAATAAATATATACTTTTTAGACCTAATAGTACTTTTCTTGTTTTAATGTAAAGATAATGTTTGATTCATGGTTGTTGAACATTATACATTCCACATACTTCTATAGAGCTTTTCACAGTCAAGAGATGCTGTAGATGAGCTGGAGCTCGCTTGTGCTGTAAAGTGTGACAAGTGTGGCATTTACATGGCATTAAATTGTCACCGCTCTGTGTGTTTAAGCATGAGTAGGTCCGAACAGTCGCACTGGCTCAAGTGAACAGCACGCAACTCACCTCACCGCCTGCATGCACAAGCAAAGCAAAGCTAAAACAATAAACAATTTTGATACTGAAAGAAAAAGCTTGATACCAATTTAATTTCCACATAGAAAAAAATAACCTATAAGAGCATGAGATAGGCATTTTTCACCTGCTTCAGCGATTTAAAACTTCACAGTAACAATTAGTGGTCTGGTGTTTCTCAAGAGATACTTGATACATAAATGATCAAACAAACAACAAACAAAAATGTGAAACTTTTCTAAAT